CGTACGTGTCGCGGATTGTTCCATCCAGCCCGGCAAGCCAGAAGTAGTAGTTGGCGGCTTGGTTGGCCTTGGTGATACCTAGTGGCCATCAGTAACTTGATTTTTCAACTTTTCGGGCCTTTTTGGATACTTACTGCTGACAAAACTAAATGCCAATGCAGTGGCTTGGCCGGAGAAATAAATACCCATGAAAGATACAATGAACTGATAGAAAGTAATCTCGCCGTCAACAATCAGCTTGGATCCCCACCTATATGAAGAATTATTAGCTTAGACTGTTCACAAACCCTTGAACAGAGATGATTAAGAACCTACCAGAAACCCAAGGCTAAAATGAAGTACTCGACAGATTGCGTGAGAGAGAACCAGGCCATCATATGAAACATTGACCCCCTTGTCTGTTCAATTGCGAGGTCGAGCTCGTCGGCATACCTCTTCAACATGGTGTTCTCTATAGCCAGTGAAGACACGGTTCGGATAGCGAGAACTGCCTCTGAAGCAACTGAGGCGCTCGCCGACAATCGCCGGCCCAGCTCGTCATCCATCGTTGTTTCGAGCTTCACACGTGCGTAGCCACCTATCATCATGGGCGGCAGACCGACGAAGACACCGACGAGCCCCAGCTTCCAGGAGACTGCGATCGCAAGGACGCTGGATGCAATAACGTTGAAGACAGACATCAGGATGATACCGACGGCGAATCCCATCAGCTCAAGGATTGCCTGCGGATAGGAATCAAGCTTGCTGATAAGCGCACCCACGGTGTTCTCGGGACGGTCGAAAAACCGAAGGTCCTGTCGCAGGAACGATTCCAATATTTCCCTCCGCAGTTTCCTACTAAGAGTCTATGGTAGAATAGAATGTGGTTAGAATCATGTGAATGCGTGTGTGGATATATATGAATGGCATAAGCCCTCACCTGTGCAATGGTATTCGTGCACCAGCCCATAATGAAGTATACAACAAGAACGCCGAGCGACATGATGAAGAACATCAAGGCTATGAAGTTGCCACGACTGACTATATCCGGAGAGGTAAAGACACTCATCACGTTGCCTAACAAGAGGGCTTGCCCGGGGTTAACAGCGGCTGCGAGTGATGTTGTTGTTAGCATGCGTATCAAAGCTGACTCTCACGATGGCTAGATGCAGAAAATGATCATAACGATAAAAACAACTCACCTCCTCCGATGCAAGTGGCTACTGTGATGCCAAACCAAAGCCAGATTTCGGGCGTGCCTCTCAACAGCTTCCAGACATTGACAATAATGCCTGCCTGCTTGTATAGGTCGTAGTCCTCTCGGTCCTTGAGTGCCATCAGTTGTAGTTCCTGTGTCGCTTTGGTATCCACGTTGGTCTGAACTTGATGCATGCCGAGTTCAGTTTCTTGAACCTCATCGGGTGTGCCTGCGCCCTCCGAGCTAGATTCCTGGCTCTTCTCGAAGCTAGTTGGTGCAAGGTCCTGAGCGCGGACAAGAGTGGCGTAAACGCCTTTCTGAGAGAGAAGCTGTTCATGGTTGCCCTGTTCCGCGATCTTACCCTTGGTCATGACCACGATGTTATCGGCGTTGCGAATTGTTGAGAGTTTATGCGCGATCACGATGGTCGTCCGGTTCTTAGAAGCATTGTCAAGGGCCCTCTGCACAATAGTCTCGGAATTCGAGTCCAGGGCGCTGGTTGCCTCGTCAAGCAGCAGGATCTTTGGCCTCGATATGATGCTGCGGGCAATGGCAATCCGCTGCTTTTGCCCGCCTGATAGAAGTCCACCTCTTTCGCCGACACGTGTATGGTATCCTTGGGGCAGGCTTTTGATAAAGTTATGGGCAAACGCAAGCTCTGCAGCTTCTTGTACGTGCCGCATTTTCTCTTCTTCGGAGGCTGCCTCCCACGGAGTGCCAATCAGTCCATTGGCAATGTTCTCGAAAACGCTTTCATTGAATAGAACAGGTTCCTAGAATCGTCAGAAAGGGTTGTTGAGATTCTGTGGTATATTTGTTTATTCCTCACCTGTTGCACTAGACGAACGTTGGTCCGTAGCCATTTGAGGTTGAACTGGTTGATATTCTTGTCGTCTACAGTGATGAGCCCTCCGCAGGGATTATACCACCGCTCGATCAGACCGATAATTGTGCTCTTCCCAGATCCAGAGGGCCCCTTTCATCTAAATTAGTCTGGCGCCGGGTCAGGAGGTATGGAAAATTGTTACGCACCACAAATGCTGTTACTTTCCCTGCAGGGATATCCAACGTGAAATCATCCAAAATTGTAACATCTGGACGTGTGGGGTAGCTGAAGTTGATGTTTTCCAAACGGATGGACCCGGAAACAGTATCGGGCGTGTGTCCTGAGTTTTGAAAGGGGTCGATCTCAGACCTCCTATCAATGAGAGTGAACATTTCCGAAGCTGCTGTTGTTGCACGACTAAAAGTGACCAAGTTCGGCATGACTTGCATTACCGTACTGGCAGCCATAATGACAGAGAATAGAACGCTGGATTTGTAGTCAGTTTCATGTTTCTATTTGAAATAGAACGGTAGCGTTTCTCGGATTGTAAGAGGATAAATACTAACATGAAGACTGTTCCTAGGTCAGAAATCTCGCCACGGTCGACCATAGCGATGCCCTGCCAGAAGGCCAGGCCCATGCCGGCGTATATCACAAAATACTGGCCCCCAAACACGATACCGTAAAGCTTGTTTTTCTTGATTCCTCTGTTGTAGGCATCTTGAAGATAGGAATCATACTTGGCCAGAACCCTTGGACGAAGGCTGAACGCCTGGAGCGTACGGATCCCCCCAAGGATATTTTCTGCATAGCTGCTGGCTTGGGCGTAGACCTGTAGGATGCCGGTCTCGATCTTAACATCAATGCCGCCAGCGGCGCCCAGAACAACTAGCATAGTTGGTACCATGAAAATGAGAATCAACGTGAGCTTCCATTGCGCGACAAATGCAATGATAAATGACGTAACGAAGGTGGATAGTGCCTGGATGGCGATGCCGAGCTTCTCTGAGATGCCAGATTGTATCAGTTTACCATTGGTAGTAGCCTGCTGTGATATAGAGCCAGAGACATCTTTATCGTAGAAGGCGATATCTTGTCCAAGGGCAGCCCGAAGATAGCTGCGGCGGAGGTTGCGGGTCAGGAAGTATGCGACATAGGTGAAAAGAGATGCGTAGATGTATGTAGCGACCAGGCGAGCGATACCGATGTAAACAAACTTGAGACTACTTTAATGTTAGAACAGGGATCTGATATTCACACGTATATCAGATATTGGAACTCACGCTGACGATTGCACAGCGGACATGAAGTTGCTGGGCATCGAACCTCCCTCAGAGAAGCTGACGCCGCTGAGCAGTGTCAAGAATTGTCCCATTACTAAATTGACCATGGCGAGAGCAACGCCGGATCCAATAGCCGCTATGATGGCAATGACTTCCAGGAGATAGAGTCTAGTATCACCGAAAGTGAAGACCCGCTAGATTGTACCCTCTAGTTAGCAAGCGGCCACAAAGGAAGCAGGCTTCAGACCAGACTTACCAAGAAAGGATTCTTTCCCTCTATTTTTTGAGCTGATTCGTCGTCTGATTTATGAGGAATGATTGGAATTTGGTCCTCATTGACCACTCCAGCAGGTTTCTCGGGCTCCCGAGAGCTCTCATGGGACGCCATCTGTTCGCGATGATGATGTGTGGAAAAGGAAAGCGAAACGAGTGGACGCAAGATTTCGGGCTTGCAAATATGCAGTTAGTTTGGTTTGAAGGAGAGGAATATTTAGTAGTTAGGAGTAGGAGGAGAGACACACTTGATTTATGTATGCCAAAATGGAAGACCCCTAAATGGCTGCCTGTCGATCGGATCTCAGCCACTCGGGCTTGCACGTCAGGGGAAGCATGAACGCGGAAGTGTCATCTTCGATATGCCATTTCTCGGAGGCTTGGAGGATATCATGTCCGGCATGGAGAGCCCCAACCCATTCGAATAATTGGGTGCCTAGAGCGTATCGGAGACGTATGCGGAGAGCGGAGCCTCCGAAGCTCCGTCAGCCTTTCCCCGTGGAAGGGGTGACATAAAACACGGCATCACTGAGACGCCCTATTCACCTTCTAAGATTAGGTTGCGGACTTGCTACTCCTTTGTTAATGATATAATTATGCTGATAAGTAAATATACGGCGTCTTTCTTTGAACATCTTGAAATTTGGTTCATACCTACTACCCGACTAGCCTAATATTGCGCCGAAACACCAGCTCGTTTGTTGCCTGGTTGTCTTTTGTTTTATGTCAATCTTGTGCCAAGCCTTTACGACTGTGGCTCCGAAGCTCCGAGATTTTCTTTAGCCCGTGACGAAATCCCCAATCGCTTCGGCCCTCCACGTTCATTTTGCCTCCGTTGAATCTTCCCAGTGCAGAGTCACATTCTTGAATTCCCGTCATCGCCTGCGAGCTGCAGACCAAGAGGAGCCAATCGAAAGTCGCGGAAAACGTGACGCATATGCACCAAGCGGCAAGGCTCTGCCCGTAAGAACCGCTATCGATGGATGCACCAGGAGCCTCGTCAGTCCAGCCTGAGGAGGATGAAGTGCAGAGTCCCGCAGCAAATGAGAAACTAGCTGTGAGTTTACAGGGGCCCTCGAGTGAGAAATGACGATATTGAGCTAACAATCTTCGGTAAACAGTGCTTTCGCTGTCGCCAGCGCAAGGTAAAAAAAGACAAAACATCACTGAACACCTCAAGATATTCAATTTCGGTTTCTGATCTCTTGCTCAGATAAAATGTGACCGCTCGAACCCGTGCTCTCACTGTGTGAAAGTCGGGATAGAATGCTCGTACGCAACCGGACCCAAGCAGAGGGAGAGGCGACAGAGAGTAATGGTCTCAAACACATAGTAAGAAGTTCAGCATTATATCCACCAAGGGGGGATGCGAGACTGATATAGGATTAGTGACTCTAAGTTGGATTCAATATCAAGGAAAATCGATCAACTCAGCCAGCAAATGAGCCAGTTGAGCCACGAGACTCACCGACCTGGAGCCTCCATCCCTCCCGAAAACCAAGAGCAGTTCTCTTCATCCTCTTCCTTCGGGATCACTCCGTCTTCCTCCTCCGTGATCTCTACACCAAACACAGGAGTGTCGGAGTATCCACCCACTGGCGATAGCCGAGGAGAGGATGTCAATAGCTCCTCCAAGGCGGAGTATGAAGGAGAGTCTTCGCTTTTTGCTCATGCAGTTTTTGCCAGCCGTTTCCTGCAAAACTTCATCAACAGCTCACAGAACCCTGATGTTTCACGAGATATGGAAGCCGCCCTCGAGGGGCTCAGATCTGCCGTACACTCTGGAAACCAACAATTTGACACCCTTGATAAAGTGTATCCTCGCGCCAACACAATCCCACCTGGTTCCTCGATCCACAACCTTCCGCTACCACCCATTGACAAGGTGTTTGCATGTCTGCGCATGGCCAAGGACTGTACGCAAGTGGCCACATTATGGCTGGGGAACTTTATGAAGCCTTCCCAGTTCCACGACTATTTTATTAAAGTCGTATCGCCAGGCCCAGCTTCCGAAGCCGACTTGATAATTGTGCATTGCGGTCTTTACTGGCTCTTTTGCGAGTGTTCCAAAGCAGTGTCTGGCCAAGAAGCAAAGCAAGACTATGATGCGCAGTCTTCATTATGCCAAGCCAACCTCGAGACTGTTTTTGTCAATTTCCATTTCCATCATGCTACCACCATGGACCTCGCCTATGCTATGGGGTTTGCGGTAAGCTACCCATCTCCTTGTTCTCGTGGAAAGCGATCAAGCATGGAACGAATTTTCAATTAATCACATCTTCTCTTAGTGCATGTATTGCCTTCAGAAGAGCAAGATATCCGCGGCGTGGGGCTTCGTCAGTTTTGCCGCACACACCATCCACGCTCTTGGCTTACAGCATCATAAATTGCCCATTAGTTCAGAGGGGCCAGAGGATAAGGAACGCAGGAGAGACATGTTCTGGACAATCTATTCAGCGGAGAAGACGTTGTCCTTGCGGTTAGGCCGCGCCTCAAACTTCCGAGATCAGGATATTACCCTGGCTCGTCCTGTTCAATCACGTCCCGGTGATGCGTTCTTGGCAGTACTCGCCCCGGCTTGGGTCAGCATGGCTAGTATCCAGGGTCGAATCTATGACGAAATCTACAGTCCAGGAGCCTTGATGCAACCAGCACATGTTAGAACGCCTCGTGCTCGAGCTCTTGCAGAGGAGTTGAAAGTTCTTATGCAGCGTGCACAACAGGTTCATGTAGGTTTCAACTACTTTTTACGAGAACTATAACACGGGCATTCTTTTAATTACCTGAGAACTCTTAACTAATCGCATTCAGGAGCAATATGCGGCGTCAAAAGGACACATACTTGGGTTGGATTTTCACGAAATAGCACGGCGTTCCGACCGGGTTATGGGTCTTTGCTTTCTCACCCTCATCTACCGCAGTATCACCCCAGAGAGACCATCCATGTCTGAATTCTGTGACGAATGTATCGAATATGCGAGAGATACGCTTCAAGAGCATGAACGATGCGTTGGTGTTATAAACAAGTCGCAGGGCAAGCCGGTTTTCCTCGAAACATACATCAACTGGTATGTCTTCAACAACCCCATGGGGACATTTTTCTTGACGAATGCTAATTTGCCGATGCAGGTACATTATTCGATCTCCGTTCATACCCTTCATCGTTATATTCTGCTACGTTGTTGAGACTTCCCAGGCATCGGATCTCAAGCACCTGGGAGCCCTCGTGGAGACTCTTGATTCTATATCAAACTCCCACGCACAAAGTACATTCAACAAGCAGCGTGGCCTCTTTAGGGCATTGTATGACGTCGCTTGTAAGTACATCGAGGTGAAATCCCGCGATAACAGCACCGGCCAAGTAGAAACTCCGTGGTCAGCAGTTCAGCAACAATACGCCACTGAGTTCGCTGGCACGGCCTCGGCCACTATTGGCCTTGGCTCGTTAGACCCTGGTGCAGTGGTGCAAAACACACCAATGACTGTATCCTCACATGCTCATTCTAGAAGTATGGCGGGAGAATATGTCAGCCACAGAGATAGGCCGGAACTGTTAGAGGGGATGGTCGATCCTCTCTCTTTGCATAATCCTGTCATTGGGGATGTGGACATGGAAATGGATCCTTCGGGAGCCCAGCTCTGGGACTGGTTTAACAAAAATCAGTCGATCATGAGGATGCTTGAAGATACATGAGAAGCCAGCTCTATTTGGGCATGAGACTACAGCAATATGGTAGGCCACAGAAATGGCATCATGCTTAACAATGATGTCAAAAATCAGGAACAAATTCACCCTAAAGAGTATTGCCTCCCGTCTATCTATGAATATCATCGCATCCTGGGAAACTGAGATATACTGGAAAGTCAATGCAGGCGCCACAATCTACAATCTTCTATTTCTTGTTTGAAACGTCTGGAAAGGGCTTGTCAGTTCTTTGATCTAGACTAAATGGGGCCTTGCAAATTTTGTCACTTACTGAATTGGAAGTGGATGATATCTCCATCTTGGACAACCTAGGGAGAGTGGTTAACCACCGCGGCATTTGATCGAACGATGAAACACTTACATAGGTCTTTCCTTCTTGGCGATATTTGCCCGCAGCCTTAATAGGAGCCATGGATTTGGCGCCTTCGCATAGATCAAAGAAGTCTTGGTAGGCGACGACCTCAGCTTTGATGAAGCCCCTTTCGAAATCGGTGTGGATAGCTCCGGCAGCTTGAGGTGCAAGGTATCCTTTGGGGATAGTCCAGCATCTGACTTCCTTCTCGCCAGCTATCGACATGTTAGCAAGGGCAAGATAACAATTCAAGATTACGAGGTATGCGAACCAGTGAAGTAGTATTGCAAGCCAAGCTTGTTAAAGCCCTCAGTGATGATCTTGTCCAGCTTTGACTTGACTTTGTTCTCCTCAAGGAACTGTGCCTGTGCGGCTGGGTCATCTTTCATGCTGTAGACCTTTTCTTCAAACTCGATAGAAAATGGGATAATGTCGCGGGGAACACCTCCGTGTTCAGTCACCCACTTAGCGATAGGCGGGAGATACTTGCTCTTCTGCCTGAGGTAATCCTTCATCGTCAAGTTGACGAGATAGATGGTCGGCTTTGTAGTGATCAACTGCAGCTTCTCATTGATAAGAGCAATCTCGGCCGGTGTCCAGCTTCCATCTCTGACTGGCTTGTCGTTCTCCAACATCTATTTGCGATGGTGAATAAATTGATCATTATTACTTGAATATTTGGAAAACATGACTCACTGCCCGGATCTTGGTCGTTGTCTCAGTAAAGAGTGGCAGCATTTTGTACTTGCCACCTGCCTTTCTGACAATAAGATCCTCGGCAACACATGCCTTGTCAAGAATATCTAGACTGAAATTAGCGAAAGCCAAGCAGGTTCATGCCACGTTACTAACCAAGATCTTTCTTGCAAAGCTCGCTTTGGATCGTATCTGAAGGTCGCATTGGTTAGTTATGCCATCTGAAGGAAGCCGGATGAGCTCACTCAAGTCGCGGACGGGATCAATAGAGTCGTCGACATGCAGGACTTCGTGATTATCGAAAGCTCTATGGGAGTCTCAATTAGCGCCAGACCCAGGCTATTTCACTCCTCTCCTCATACCTGACGATGTGAAACATGCCATCAACGGCCTGGATGTGAGACAAGAAGGCATTTCCAAGTCCCTCTCCCTGAGAGGCACCCCTAATGAGACCGGCGATATCTGTGACTTGCAGGTAAGCCGGGTACGTGGACGGCGGTTTCCAGAGGTCGCACAGAAAGTTCTAAAGCGCGCTGATTTTAGCGGTGGGTTGGTCTCGAATATGAGCAGAGAGCACGAGCGGTGGAAACTCGTTACAGAGCGTTTGGACTAACATATCTGTCGTCGGGAACAGCGCACCGGGCCTCATTGGGCTCGATGGTGCAGAAGGGGTAGTTTTCTGCGGCGGCGCTCTGCTCTGTCAAGAGATTGAACAAGCTCGACTTTCCCACGTTCGGCAAGCCAACACACCCCATCTTGAGGTTCTTGCGGACCCTGCCAAAGGCAACGACATTGTCCTTGACGGCTTCGATCTTCTTGGGAGGCATTGTGGCTGTATTGGCTCAATGGTCGAGATGATCGGTGTTTGATAGGTTGGTCTTGGAGGGGTAAAAGAGGACAGAATCCTGCGGCAAACTTTTCAGATGTGAGCTGGCCCTCAAGGTCCACATAAGCACAGTCATAGCAGATAGCCGGCGTTGACTATTGGATTTGGGGACCCATCCGACAAGGAAGGGCATTGTAACCGTTTCATGCGCATCGCATTCCCGGTAGTTCCCACAAAAACTGTCAAATCGCTCATCCACAAACCTCAAGCGGCCTCAACCAAACCACCGACTGCCGGGGACTTTTTAAGCATATCAATATTCATATCCGTATAAATTATTACCGAAACCTTCGAAAAGATGCCTCATTGTTATTCACTCATAATGTAGTGCTAAGTAGTCATGTGAAATCAATAAATCCATGCATAATCCTCCTCCTAATGACCCTAGAAAAAGAACTTCGAGGTTGCTCAATAAATAACTACCTGTTGCCTGCCTCGTCTGGACTTGCAGGAAACAACGAGTAATGATTAATTCCTGTCGAAAACAGCCAGTCATCCTTGCGTTGGTGCGTGCAAAGGTATGATGATACTGCGACAAATCACTGGTGAATCTTTCACACCCTCACGAATTGAACCGATTCTTCCGGTACATTGTGGACCGACTGATTAATCAGAGCGTCTACAAGGCAACCCAGTACAATGACTCCCCGGGCCTCAAATCACTTCGAGCTAAGATAGGTCGAGCCATTACCTGCTTTGAACTGCATGGCGTATACGTGCTCTTACCTTTTGTCGAGACACGTCAGTAAAGTGTTTCAGTAATATTATCAGGTGGCTAGATTGGAAACCAACTTATAGAGGATTATCAGACTAGGGAAGCAGTTGCGCCCCTGCACTTGGCAAGCCGTTTTATCTTCCAACCCTTAACTACTGATGAGAGTTAGAGTACAAAGGAAAAACCGCAATAGAAGATGCTAGACCCGACATCTCAGCACAATGAAGAGCCTTTGATTCCCCTTCTTAGAATATTTCACAAACGATACACGGGACACAATGTTGTCTAAAGACAAGACTAAGATTTGCCGCCCAGCACAGAAGCCCGGTATGGGTGATGCTGAAATCCCCAGCCAGTGGATCATCTAAGCGTCTGGCCAGAACCACGCCTAGTTCATAATTCCTGAGTTGTTGTTAGACGCTTTGTGAGGCCTCAGTGCCAGAGCCCATGTTGAGGCGAGGTTTGCAGCCAGTTTTCTCGAGGATATGGACATAAACTGCCCAAACCTTCTCGGGAAGAGGAGCCAAAGTGAGAGAGCGGATGAAGTCCAGCGCCGGTGGAAACGGGGACTTGAGCACCGCATCTAGGCCTAAAGGGAATGAGGCTGGCGTGGACGAGGAGATGATTGATAATCCTCTTGTTCCCCGAGAAGAGTTTTATAGATTGGACAGATATACCAGTCTGGTGCGTCCATAGTAATGGCACACTAAGTATACCCGTCAATAAGTTCTTAAATGAAGCAGGTGATTCTAGTTCATGTATCTGGGATATGGCAGGTCGTATTGCTGGAATTCTGATAAGCGGTGGCTCCGGATACATGGAGTTCAATTATGTAAACATATGCTAGCCCAGCTGGTTTGCTTAGGAGCGTAACCTTTTCATTGAATATTTATTTATACTAATACTATCAGAATACTAAGTTAAGTCATGCTTTGAAGGGTCGTGGTCTGCTTAAGCAGATAGAAGCCGTCCTTCCGGGGGGAGGTGCTGCTTGAGACTAATAGGCACCAAGTTCAACACAATTTTGTCTATGATCGTGTTGTTCTAGAGTGCCATGCAGTAAATATTAGTCGCACACGTAATACGTGAGACCTTTGTATCGTATCATACCGAGAAAACTATGATACGAAGGTGTGGTTAGCTTGTCTCCTTAAACTAGGCCAGGTGGCAAGTTGAAGGGTGGTTTAGGAACAGACCACTTTTCTACGGTGGCTGGAGTCAACAGTATAACCCGACGAAAATTAACAATATTTAGTGTATTGCCTCTTAGATATTTACTATTAGCCCTTAATAATCTGACACTATTGGTCGCAGACGCGTAAACAAGCAGGGTAATAGTTGAGTATCTCAAATTCAATGTCTCTTGCAATAAAGCACATCACAACAGCTTACTGAGCTTAGTTCCCATGCCTAGCCTATGGGGACACGAGGACGCAATTTCGGCATCGTCATTGATAAAGTCATCGACGTTGTACTAGATTACAGGCGTTTATTCAAAGAACTTGAAGCCATAGCCAACGTTGTCGTTGTCACCAGGGACATTGGCACGGTGGTACTTCACGCTGCCCCACCACACAAAGCTGCCAGTGTACCAGTTTCTGGCGCCCCACGAGTAGCTTGTGCCCTTAGGTACTCCGTGGAAGACAAATGGGATCCGGTTCGAGCCACCTGGACTCTTCCGGACATCGCCACTGTCCAGTTGGAATGTGTGGGAACCAGGCCCATTGATAGAGAGGGTGGCATCCCAACCACTCATCATATCAGCTTGGTTCGAACCGAAAAGGCATCCGTTAGACTTGTACCAATCCCAAACGTAGGTAGGGTCACCGCCCTTCTTGAGGCGGATTTCACCTAGGCAGTACTTATCGCTCCAGCTACCATTAGCAGAGTAGACGATGTGTAGTTGGCCATTGGGATCGACGATCGCTGTAGGAGCTTCGTTGACCTTTCCCACTGTCTGTTCCCAGGGTTCCTTGGGTTGGGAGATGACGTAGCGCCCCCCGGTTGCAGTAGTCGGGCTGCTCATCTTGCAGATGTAAAGGGTTTGCATCCCATCGCCTCCAGCAGTCCAGCCGGACCAGACCATCCAGCGTTGGCTTTCGAATGTGAAGACAATGCCATCAATGGCAGGCCCGTCTCCTGGGAGGTTGATCTTCGTCTCGGACGAGTACGTGCTATGAGGCGAGTCGGCACCTATCCACACGAATTAGAATAATGTATAGCTTTCAAGCCACAGAAAATCACTCGCTGATGTAATACATCCGATGCGCATCGCTGGCACCACCGGTGAAATAAATGTACGTCTTCCCCCCGTCGATCATGATCTCGGGGGCCCAGAT